GCAGTCTGAATAAACATAGAGTTTAAAAGCCAATGAAACTCAATGAGAAGGAAAAACTCCGAAATTGAGCAAGTACTTTTAAACTACTAAATCCAGATTCTTCTTGTACCCAAGTCATCCCTTTGGGACTGAAAAATCCCTCTGAATTTTGGCATTTTGGAACAACCATTTAAATTCAATTCAGAACAAAAATACCAAGATGATGTAAGCCACTTCCTACCTTCTCCTTAAAAATATGTAATAAAAAAAATTATCTCACACAAGATAAGGAGGAGAGGCCTATGCAAGAGGATGCATAAGCTTACAATTGTATAACTTTCCTGCTTGCCACACACATCAGGTAGATGTTACAGCATTGCCACTTCTCAGATTTGTAGTGAAATCTCTCAGGATATCATTACCTAGTGCTGTCCCTGCTGCATTTCTGGGCTTTTATTAGCAGTTAAAGCGTTTTTACATTTGTCACTCACACAACTGCAAAGAAAAGTTCCAAAAATCAGATAGAAGCTACTAAAGCCCAAGACAAATAAAACCAAGGAGAATTAAGTCTTGTGAATTACACTAACCACATGATTTGGGAGAGTTTGTCTCAGGATTTGAGGATGCCTGGAGCAGATTATGCCAAGCTTGTAATTTTGCCAATTATGTTTCATTTTATACATCAAGACTGTCATAGAACACATTGTTATTATAGATATCCCTAGGGACATAGAACTCAGGCAGCCTCACACTATGTGCTAAAAAGCTTTCTCAGATAATGCTTATCAGAAAATACATCTTCCACACAGACCCCTGCACTACCTGCAACTAATCCAGATTGCAGCAGAGGCAGAGTCTCTGGACACACTCGTGTAGTGTACAGAAGATGCTGTACAAGAGCAGCCCCGGACCCCTCTTTCAAGGAATGGTACCTTTAATGCAAGTCAGCTTAAAATAGCAGTAAATTAAAAATAACTAAATTAGGACATCCACATGTGAGATATCAGAACTGCATCAAGAACATGGTAATGATGGATTTTTACTGGGGACTTCTTGATAGCCTGGAAATGCCATGCCCACCAGTGAAGACACGCAGTCACCTAAGATATTACCATTTTACACTGCTTGCTGTCACGTCTGTACCTGAACCATACTAATAATATGAGTGAGTCAAACCCATTTTGGTGCAAAGTCAAGCAAGATGGCCTAAGTCACTCCCATAGAATAGGGCATGAGCGGAGGAGCTTTAGTGGAAGCAAGGTGATTTAAAGCCCCAGTTACCTGTTACTATCCTTCAGCTGAACCATAGTTAATGGATTAACGGGGAGCTCCGACTTTACTTCATCACAAAGTCAGCTATCGCTGCTCAAATCAGATGCGACCCTGAAGCAGATTAGGAGCATTGGCAGTGTGTGAATGTGGCTCATCTCCAGGGGAGAAGCAGATGTGAGCTGGGCTGTGGTACCAAGAAGATAGAAAACAGTGTTTCCCTAAACCGTACCACTAGACCTGCAGCAGCACATCTGCCTGTGCCCCAGTGTGCTCCTGCTTCCTTTTCTCCACTCACTGCACAAAGATTTGGGCTGAATTTTCTATTCCATTGAACCTTCATACCCATGGAGACATGGCATAAGATACGACCTGTACAGTGTATTTGCTTGCTACATCACACTGGCTGTGAAATAAGAAAGACTTCATGAAGTGTGGAGTGTTAGATTTCGGATCCTATTTGCGATGTTTCTGCATCCAAACTTCATCCCGTATCTAGGCTGAAGGGTATGTATCTTCCTTCCTGCATATGGGAAAAGAAAGCAGATGGTCTCAGTCTGAGGGACAGATGTCCACATCAGAAAACTGTCACCGCACTTGACACCTTCCCAGCCACACTGGCCAAGATGCTCCAGAAAAGAAAAAACATACCTTGCCATTTTGCATACATTTACATTCATTTGCATGCATCCAAGCACCTACTGAACAGAATGCTCAGCCTTCCACTTTTAAAGTTGTACTACAGCAAAACCTCAGAAAGACTGGTGTGAAGATAACTTGTTAAAGGTGCTGACTGCCTGGTGCCTTTGGTATGCGAACTACTAATAAAAAGGGCCCTTCGATGCCACAGTCCTGTTCTCTTCCTGCCTTTTGTCAAGGCATGAGTCTTGACAAGGCGGAGCAGCTCATAACAGCACTGCCCCTCCCCAGAAATCTTTCTGCTAGATTTTCTAGGACATGAGCAAAGCATTTGACACTGTCCCACATGATATCCTTGTCTCTAAACCAGAGAGATATGGATTTGACAGATGTACCACTCAGTGGATAAGGAATTGGCTGGGTGGTTGCATTGAAAGAGTTGTGGTTAACAGCTCAATGTCCAAGTGGAATGCAGTGGCAAGTAGTGCTCCTCAGGGGTCTGTACTGGGACCAGTGCTGTTTAACATCTTTGTTGGTGACATGGACAGTGGCATTGAGTGCACCCTCAGCAAGTCTGCTGATCTGACTGAGCTGTGTGGTGCAGTCAACATCCTGGAGGGAAGGGATGCTATCCAGAAGGACCTGGACAGGCTTGAGAGATAGGCCTGGGCAAATCTCATGCAGTTCAACAAGGCAAACATAAGGTCCTGCACCTGGGTCAGGGCAATCCCAAGCACAGATACAGGCTGGGGGAGAATGGATGGAGAGCAGCCCTTAGGAGAAGGACCAGGGGGGTCTTGATGAGAAATTCAGCATGGCCCAGCAATCTGCATTTACAGCCCAGAAAGCAAGCCCTTTCCGGAGCTGCATCAAAAGCAGAGTGGCCAGCAGTCTGAGGGAGGTAATTCTGCCCCTCTGTTCTGCCCTTGTGAGACACCACCTGGAGTGCTGCCTCCAGCTCTGGGGCCACCAACATAAGAAGGACATGGACTTGTTGTAGCAAGTCCAGAGAAAGTCCATGAAGATAATCAGAGGGCTGCAGCACCTCTCTTATAAGACTGGCTGAGAGAGTTGAGGTTGTTCAGCCTGGAGAAGGGAGCGCTCTGGGGACACCTTAGAGCAGCCTTCCAGTACCTAAAGAGGGCCTGCAAGAAAGCTGGAGAGGGTCTTTTTACAAAGGCATGTAGTGACAGGATAGGGGGTAATGGCTTTAAACTGACAGAGGGTGAGTTTAGATTAGCTATTAGGAAGAAATTCTTCACTGTGAGGGTGATGAGGCACTAGAACAGGTTGATCAGACAAGCTGTGGGTCACTCATCCCTGGAAGTGTTCAAGGCCAGGTTGGATGGGGTTTTGAGCAGCCTGGTCTGGTGGAAAGTGTCCCTGCCCATGACAGGGATATTGCAACCAGATGATCTGTAAGGTCCTGTCCAACCCAAACCATTCTAAGATTCTAGGATTCTATGAAAAGACTGTTGACACTGTCCAAGTACAAAAAACATAATCCCATCTTTTTTCCCTTTTTTTTTTTTTTTTCTGGCAAGGGGTTTTCTCCTCTCAAATAACACAAAAGGATCTACATCTACTTTTCCTAAGTGGGGCAGCAATATTTCATTGGGATTGTGATGGCTGGAATGCCTGGGGAATCTGGATGCAGGCAATCTGAATTAGGGGAGAAGTCAATGAAACACGGGAGAATATTGAAGTGTCTTAGTGCGAGGTCTGTTTCCCAACATTCATGCACATTGCTCTCTGAGTTTATAGGAAATTATCCCATGTGGAGCATTATGTCCAGTACAAGGGGAAAAAAACAGAGAAAAAACAAACCAAACCAAAACATAGCAGATTGCTCAATGCTGCCTGTAGGCCAGTTAGAAGGGGAAAAAAACGAGATCCTTTAATGCTTGGCTGAAGCCCAGCCCTTCCCCTTGGGGCAACCTCTGCAGGGATGGGAAGAGCACCCCATCTTCCCATCCTTCATGGAGAAGGTCCAGCTGTGGACTGGGACATGATACCCACTCCCTGTCAAGGCCCACATGAAACACTCAGGTGGCAATTACTGCTGACAACACAGCAATTATGGGAACTCTGTGAAATGCTGTGTGTGTTTTCCAGTGCTAATTAGGGCTGCTTGGTGAGGTAGGTGGGGTGGGAAACACGAGCATTTCCAGGGGATTTTTTTTGTTTGCTTCATTTTAGGGTCATTGTGTGTTGGTTCTTCTCTTCTTCAGCCCAGCCCCAATGGTGACATAATGTTGTGCTAGGGAAGATGGGATGTCTGAAGGTAAATGGCAGCAAGTAAAGAAGCAGGGGGGTAAGACATGCTGCTCAGCACTTCATGTTTGTCATCTAAGGCCTTTGCCCTGTGTTTCCATCCCTGTCAAAGCTTCAAAGTAGCTTTGGGTTTGTCCAGCCTGCCAGGCATGGCTGTGATGAATCCCAGCAGTGGGGAGCCCCGTAAAGGTGGCAGAGCCTTTTCCCACAACAAAATGTTAACACTCACAGTGGTTTTCAACCCCAAGGACCTTTGTCTAGGAATCATATCAGCTTCCTTGCCACCTCCATAGCCTATCAACAAATCAACTAGGTTTTCCTTTCACAGACCGTTACGTTTCCCACTTCTTCATTTGGCACAAGGAAAAAACAGTCACAGAGGCTTCCCAAGCTGAGCTGGAGTCATGGCTGCACCACAGCTATGAGTGAAAATGCCACTTGTTTTCACTTGCTACCCAACATATGACAGCCTGTTACACAAAATCAGCAGCAAAAGTCCCCCTACTTTTGCAAAAAAATAAACCAACCCAAAACTTACATAACTCTGCAACTAATCTTTGTTAATCTTGAGCAAGGCATTTAAATCCGGGGAATAAGCCTATTCTTCTCATCCCCTGCCCCCTCCCCCCTGCAGCCTATCTGTACAGTGAAAAGGGAAACAAACAGAAGCAAAGTTCACGGCCTTATGATTTTTCCTTTTGACAAGAGTAAAGTGGCATCGTGTCCCGAGTCTGCTCTGAAGTAAAACCTCCTGCCCTGCCATATCCCATGCACAGCAACCGAGGACCTTAAGAGAAAAGCTGCTTTCGGACCAATTATCAGTTGCTCTTAGCTAAATCATGGAAATCTCTACTCTCGCCACATACCATTGCCTTGCTTTCGTCTGGTACTTTTTTGTAGCCTATTCCATCGTATACATCAGAACAGAAGAGCGGCCATCTGAAGTGTTCCTTTACGGTGGGCAGTGGAAATATCTGACAGTCCTCAATCTGGTAAGCAAATCGTGTTGTACAGTGATACCAATATGTCTATTTGTTTGTCTGCCATCTGCGCCTCAAGACATATGCAGCTGGTATATTTGCTGCTGTTAAACTGCTTCCTTTAACAGTTTATACACCAAAGGAAACTAAGGAGGGATCTGTGCTTGTGTTGTGAAATGTATTCACAGGTTTCCTGCAGAAAGAATATTGGCTGGTGAGCTTCTTGGCTTTCAGTAGGTACTTTGAAGCTAGCTGCCTCCTTGTAAAAGAGACAAGCTGTCATTGAGGAGAAGGACAGAAAAGTATAGATATGTCCAGCCAGTACACATGCAAGTTTGGTGCCTGTTTTCTAACCTTTAATTAAATGCATTACAATGCTGCTTGGAGTTTTACTTCAAATTTTTAATAGACTTTTATGTCCTGTAAATTACAGAAAAGGTAAAACAAAACAGCACAGTGCTAATTTAGCCATTCAGAGTACATGCTTAGTTTGTCAATCAGCTGAGAACATCAGGGAAAGAAATTCCACCCTGTAGAGAGAGGTGCTTGTGACATTATTACATGAGTTTCAGCTGTGCTATCAACTGCTTGCTACATTTCCTAAAAGTACACAGAAAAACATAGACTGTGATGTGTTCTGATTCCCTTAATATGCTGACATGTCACAGGATAGAAATCAAAGTGAAAGCATGTGAGATACGCCAGGGGAGAAGGCTGGTTCAGAGCCCAAAAGGGTTCATCATCAGCCCAAAGGGTGGTGCAGTGGAAAGACCAGGCTTGTGGAGAGTTTTCCTATAAAGGAAAAATTTCAGGGACACTTGCTAATTTGAAGGATGACCACAGGGACCTCCATAGCCTTTCATCCGTTCTGTGTGACTGTCAGAGCTAAACATCAGTGGGAGGTCTGGTCCAGGGTATGTTTCTACTTTTACTCTTCAGAATGTAACACCTCATGGTGGAGTTCAGTGGAAGCCTAAAGGGTCCCCAGCTTCAAGAGGGGCTTTTGGAGACCCTGTCAACCATTCTGTGACTCTGTGAAACATTTGCAATGAAAGAGATGCTGAATGGCATGTGAACAACAACCTGGGGTTCTGGAAGCCACAGTGGTCTTCTCAGTGGCCAAGTCAGCTGTGGAAGGATGAGGACATATATATCGCCGCAGTCAGGGTGGTATTTGTATTGTTAATTGCTATGTTGTCTGGTATCAGTATATCTATTTGTTGGGGATAGCTGGCCCCACTAAAGCATTAGCCATATTTTCAGGCAAAACAGCATCTCCACTCCCACACTCTGGCACCATCATAATGAGATCTACCATCCAGTATATCACACAGCTCTAAAGCAGGAGATCAAGAGGACAAAGCAAGTAACCCACCTCCCAGTATTTTGGGATGTAGAAATAGTCATTGAAATTATCATCCACCTTCCATTAATGACCAGCAGTGGATGATCAGGGAAAGGCTGCACAAGACATGAGCATGTACATGCATAAAATGAACTTTCCATGGCTCTATCATCCCACTAGCATGCTGACTAACCCAGACAGAATATAAATCCAGCCCAAGGTAGCTAATACACACTCAAAGCCTTCCCTTCATCTATCTAAAGGAAAAACATACCTTTTCATACTTCTGGTACTTTTCCTATCCTATGTGCCACAAGGCATGTGTGCCTTCAGTGACAGAGCAGTTCATTTTGTTGGTGTAAACCTGCTTCCTGACAACTGAACTGGGTGCTTCATTACGTCCATATTGCAATTTAATCATCCATCCCTGTCCATGTTTTCTTTGCCACTCATTAGAGACCTCTACCAGATTTTCCTCTCATTAGTCTTTTCTGTAAACTGGAAGTCCAAGGTTTTTTCATCTCTCTTCACAAAGGGTTACTTTTTTCATTAAAGCATCCTTGCCGCCCTTTGCAGCAGTTTTTCTAGTTTCAGGAGGGAGTAACTAGGGCAGGCTGCTGTCATCGAGTTATGAGTTATGAGATGGATTTATACAGTGGCTAAAGGTGTTTCCTTGTTTGTTGTTTATCTGTTCTTGACAGTTCTTAAATCTCTATTTGTCTTTTTTGATCACTGGTAGGCAAGAAGACAGCAAATTGAGACAGCTATCCACAGTGAGTCCAACATTTCTTTCCTGGATGGTGATAGCTAATTTAGAACCCACAGCTGAGAAATATATAACTGTAGCTGCTTTTTCTTTCTGAAAAGCATTACTTTGCATTCATCAACACTGATTTTTGCCTAGTATTTGATCTCTCAGGCACTCAGTATCCTGAGATTCTTTGGCAATTTTACAGTCAGGCTTCACTTTGACCAAAAAAAAAAAAAAAATTCACAAAGGTTTACCACCTCAGTATTTGCTCCCTTTGCCAGCTCATTTCCAGATCTGCCAAATAGCTTACTTCTTATTAAATCTCCATGAGTGAGGGCCCTTGCTCCAGTTCCCCAGTCTCACATCTTTTAACCACTCATTGATCTGATCCCAATGCTAAAATGGAGTTGTCAGCCAACAGAGAGATGATTTGGGTTGATGTTGCCTATCTCTCATGCAGAAAACGTGGCAATGGGATAGGGTGTGCAAAATTACTCCTTCATGGCTAGTAATCCTTCTTCTACAGAGATGTGGTTTTTTTTCAAGAAAGGATTACCAAAAAAGGGAAGAGGATTGGGGAAACAAATGCCCTCAGCCCACCTTCTCCCACTGAACTGGATAGCATTTGTTGGTAAAATGGTGGCAAAAGATTCTTGATCCACTATATAAGACAGGAAGAGGATGAGAAGACAATATGTCCCAGAATGCCGTGGTGCTCTCTGTGGGGCTCCGCAGGACCTAAAAGAGTTGTCCCATGATTTGGCATTAAGGCCCTCCCTCTTGCTGCTGAGGGACATCAAAGAACAAGAGGTGGCTGTCAACCACACAAATCCATCAGGTGCACATTCAAAGCATTAAATTTCTGCCAGTTTGGAAGCAGTCCCAGGAAACACCTTGGAATGTTGGGAGGTATAGTCATGGGGAAGAAGAGCAAACAAAAGCTTCATATTGGGCTGTTCTGGTTCGGTGGATCTGCTGTGCTGGACAGGGCTGGGTAGTGCCTTGGAGGCTTCCCCAAAGCCAGGCACACAGAGCCTTTGTCCAGCTCTTCTGCCTGTGTCCTGCAAGACTGTGATTGCCTGGCTTCTGGCACTGGCTGTCTGAATCACTTGGAAATTTTCCCTCCAAAATTTCTCTTATCTCCTTGGAATTGCATTTAAAAACTTCCCTCTGTGGAAAGCTGCTGTGGCCAGCTCACTCTGATCTGAAATGGAAATACTGGGAAAAGTGGCATTTTCTGGGGACAGAAATGCCACGTGTCTCCCAGCTCTGCTGGAGGGATGCTGGAAAATATGACCCTCTTCTAGCACCTCATTCAATTCCTTCCTAATTATGTGGTTCTCCCAAGAGAGCTACAGCTCTGACATTATTTCAGATTCATCTTCTTAATGATCATAGCAATCAAGATTCAAAAAGGAAATGTTTTTGTAGGGGGGGGAAGATAAGTGGGGTTTGTATCAAAGGAGTTCATTGACTGATTATTGAACAAGCAGAAATGACAGATAAAAACAGTTTTGTATTCATTTGTCTGTGACACAAAACAGTACAAGCTGAATCATTCATTGCCTGAAATATCCAAGCTCATAAAAATCTGCTCACTGCTGTAAATCTATTAGTAAATCGCTGCATAATGAGCACACTGCACCTTTAAAAACTATTAATTGCATTCCTGCCCCAGTTTATTCCTTGCGCTTTTGTCTTTCATAATGGAAATACTTTTCAATTCCCCTGAAATCTGTTTTGCATTTATTTAAAAATAGGCCCAGTATTTACCATAGATATTTTCCAGGACACTATCATATGAATGGATGTGCGTCCACACTAAATGTTGACTGTTAACTCTAATAACTTGCTCAGAATATTGGATTTATCTGTCCCTTAAGGGCAGAGGTTGGAGCCGATTTATTTGTACTAGTTGAAGACTTTCAATATACACATATGGCAAGATCTTATACACAAAAGTAAATCATGTCAGCTTAGTTAAACAGAAACACCCTTTTGATCACTGCAGCAGATAAAAATTGAGGTTTGTCTTTGTCACGATGAGTCTCAGTTTGGAAAATTGATCTGGCCAAATTAAATGTTTGTACAGCACCTAGCACCATGGAACTCTGCAGGGTATAGAGGGGAAAGCAGCCTCCTTCCAGCAGGGATAATCATATCCATATTCTCCTCTTTGGGTTAATCGTTAGCTTTCTGAATGCTTCCAGTCTTCCTTCTGTTCGTGTGGGAATACTTTAGGGAATCCTCTCTATTTACAGCCAGATTTATATTCCATGAGCGACTGAAATGGATTTGTGAGCGCCAGTACTTCTGCTTGAGAAATTCACAGGACAGGACATCTGGAATAATTTGATGTTTTCATGCCTTTTTTTTTTTTTAATGTCAACATTTTCCCTTTAGTGAAGGGCTGCAATATTTGGACGCACCTTTCTTATAGGAATAACCTGTGTGGGTTTGGAGCTCTGACTCGAATCTACCAGGGGTGCACAGTGCCAGACTGAGCATTACTAGGGATGATTCTAGATAAGTTCAGTTTTCTGGCTTGAAAATTACTTGTACAATCTTCTATTGCTTCTGGAAATACACGGTGATCACTGAAATGTCTGAAACCCCCTTGAAACTACGGTGATGAACAAGGGCAGAGCTACAGCAGCACACATCCAAGCTTCTGAGGCTGAGTTCAAACTTCTTCAGGAGTTGTTCTTCATGTTCAGCCAGAGAAATGGGTCGGGTTACATGTTCAGATAAGCATTTTCCATACAGAAGATAACGTTGTCCTCCCCTGTGTATGAAGAAATATTTACCAGGCTGAGAACTTGGCTGTTTTGGGACTGTTTCTTTTCAGAAATGTTTGTTTTAGTTAATTTTGAAGCGGGGAAAGACACAGCCTATCCCTGTCCCATGATTAATGTAAGGCTGACCATGAACAAGATAATAATAGCCTCATCCTCTGGGAACCAGGCCTCTCCCTAATTGCTTTATTGGCAATTAGTCACCATGTGTCACCAGACTGTCACCACCCTCATGTTAATTTTTTATGCTTTTTACAGAAAGTTGCTGCTGACTCTACAGGGCGTAACAAGAGCTTCTGTTTATTACCAGGCTTTTCTTCGCTCTTCAAGGACTTGGTATTGGTGCCCTGGTGAGGCCAAGGACTGGGCCTTGAACATGTGTTTGTGTCTGAGTATGCTGCATCCCAGCATGGACTTTTCTGAACCAGACCCATGACTTAGAGGGCTGAATCCCTACTGACTGAGATAGTGCCTGCAGTTACAGAGGCTGATGGTAATAATGGGGAGAGAAAAACAACACATTTAAAAGAGATGTTTGGGTGCCTCAGAATTGAACAGAACCATATGTGGGTTCTGATGAAGCTGCTTGGGCTTTTTTTTTTTATATAAAATTGTGGCTGTTCAACCAATGCCTTGATAGGGAACATGGGGCTTTGCAGCTGAACCAGGTGATGTGTGACCTCTGATACCTTGTCCTCGGTGACCCTGGGCCAGTTACCCAGCCTGTATCAGCTCCTCTCTACCTCTATTGCTGCGGGTCTGCACAGGGAGGGGGGACACTCCATCAGTGGCACCTGGATATAGTCTACTGTGGTGACTCTCTGGACTGCGGAAAGGATAGGGCAGGAAGAATGTATCTTTCCCTTTGCTGAGAAGATACAAAACGGATGGGGATTGTTGTAGATAACTGCAAACTATGGTCATTTAGCTGCCCAGGAAGACTCAGCCTCTCCAGACTAAACCTCGCGGAAGTACTTGTTTGACAACATCCATGGTGAAACCATAGTCCCCTCCTCCCCTCAGATACTTTGATAAAAAAGGAATTTCTCATGGAAAAGCATTGCACTAATCCTTTCCCCTCCCAAGCACCACCCTTCTCAGCTTCTTCAGAAACTGATGAAGTAACCAGCCACAACTTCAGACACTTTGCTTTAAATAAATATCTGATTCACAGTAGAGATCATGGCAAAAGAGATCTCATCCTGAAAGCTGTAACCATCTTTCCATTTAAGTATCACTAGCTGGTCTCGTGTTTGCAGTAGTCTGCATTTCCCATATTGCATCACTCTGGGAGAATCTAGCCTTGAAAAGAAGGGGCCACCCTGTGAGTTAACCAAACTGAACTGACTCGGTGGGGAATGCAAGGCAGTGGGAGAAGCATTTTTCTGCAAAGCTCTGCCTTTGTGCATCTGACAAACTGGGTTCGTCTCGATCTACTGTGTAGTGTTAGGAGAGAAAATGAAGCAATCAGAAAAGCAATATTGGCTTAAACCACAATGTTCTGACAATTTCACACATAATTTGCGGAGTTCTGTTTTGTGTGCGCTTGCCTAATTCTTTACCAAATCCTCCTAGCACCCTCCCCAAACAATCCCTCCCTCATTGCTTGTAAATGATGTAAAGAAAGAAATAAAAAAAAACCCTGAACCCAAAACACAACCTCTCATCACTAAAATTCATTAGTTATAAATAGTTCTACGTAAACTTATCTAAAACTTTAGTGGTCTGGATCTCTGCTTCTAAGCACTTGAAATCCTTTATTGAATTTGAGTTCAGCAAAAGAGGTTCTGTTTTGGATAACTTCTGCACCTAATTCTCATATTAGAGCATTTTGAACTACTTGTCAGTGATATCAACTGCACTGTGAGTCCCTGGAAAGAACCTGTGTTGGCTAAATGGTGGGAAAATCCATCTAGCAATTGCTTTACAGAAAACATTTCCTGGGGTATTTTATTCTCTCCTGCTCAGATACATCCAACGTCAACAATTAACATAGGAAGTGTGAGGGAGCTGGCTTTCAACATCTGAATCACTTCACCCATCTGAATCACATCACACATCTCTGTTTAGTCTATTAACTGAGATATTGTTAAAGTTATCTCCTGAACAACTTTCTTTAATCAGTTTCAGCTAGTAAAAAAAGATTTAGCCAACAGCTATTTCCCTCACGCAGGCTTGCAACTCACGAACAAAACAGCTCCCTGAAGAGCAAGGACAGATTTCATTGAGGTATGTGCTAATGAAAGCTGTATGAGTTTTCCTCATTAGGTGTAATTACTTCAGATTTTGCAGGCCGTCTTCTATGGGGTATCCTTCCTGGCTGATATGTTGAGACTAATTAAGAAACTGCGATGTGCTAAGTGCATAATTTCCAGCAGAGACCTTCTTTTCAGTGTCCTGGCTTTCCCAGTGTCCACAGTAAGTAACCTTTGTCTCTGTACGAGAAAATAACATTTGCATAAATGCTTAAGGGTATATAGCATACCATGTATGTGTATAAAAGAGATAAGAACTAAGAGCTCTCTTTTACCCTTGAATTTGCAGTGGATTTGGACCGTTTAGAAGAAGAAACAATGCTGAGCCTGTCATGGTTGAAAGCTAAGCCTCTTGCACAAATGTTAGAGTTACTGTCCTTGAGTGGACACAGATTGACCCCAAAGGGTGAATGAGGTGTAACCTCTCCACTAATCTCATGGTTCAAATAGCTGTGGCTTTATTAACTTAGGGCTTTTCTCTAAAGGGCAGAACAGGTCGGGAGGACATGAGAGGGTACCTAAGACACAACAAAACCTCACATCTTCTCTAAAGCCAGTGTGGCTTTAAATAAGCACTGGAGAGAAACAGATTCATGGAAAAATAATTATAGTCACAGCTTATGTCAGATTCATCATGTATCACCTACTCCCTCACAGACAATGCTGTTTATCACAACACCGTGGGTTGGACAGAAACTGATGGGTTATTTATACATGTAGGTGCACTCTTTGAGAGTGATGCCTGCAGCCACCTCTGAATCTCAAAGGCCTGAGAAGCACTGCTTAAACATGGTCCACAAGCTAGCTGGTTCAGTAAGAATGTCCTGACAGAGATGGAGTTGGAGAGACTGGATAATTTGTCTTCCATGCACAGCAGTATTCACAATGCTGCTGTCATATCCCCCCAGGCATCCCCACCATGCAAGCCGGACAGAGGCTCTGTCTCCTTCTTCCAGCATCTCACACCCCTGATTTCCAACCCTAACCACAAAGTGTGCTCAAATACAAAGCCAGGCCAAACAAAATGCAAATCAGCTTCCAGGTATCAGTAACCGATACCAGGGATCATTTCTGCCAGTTAAGTTCTCCCACTGTAAATCCTGCTCTGTTGGGAAAAAAAGGGGGGCCAAAGTACAGCTTTCACCTGCAGTTTCTGAATTAGGTTTATGAATTGTGAAGATAAGGGTAAGACTATGTGAACTGTCTTACTAAGATCTGTTTTTACTTTGTCACTGAGCAAAACACAGGCTTGACAGACAGTCCCTTGAGGAGAACTCCTGGACCATCAAAAGATCCCATCCGCAAAGGGAAAGGGAAAGGGAAAAAAGAAGAAGCAGCTAATCTTGGATTCCACAGAAAATGTCAGTGTTGGCACTTTATAAAGGAGGTTTTTTTCTCCCAGTATCAACACAGAACACTGCATCTCAGAGTAAATGTGAGATTACATGAGTTCATCTGGTAGTGTCATCATTTTTCATGTAGAAAATGTTTTGCCTTCTCAGAAATGAAAGCACTAACCAAATCCTATCCTAATTATGTTTGTCTTTCTTTTCTAAATTTCTTTTATTTTGTGTTTTTGTTCCAGTTTGTGTGTATATCCTTTTGGACACTGTATTCCTACAATCGAGAGCTGGTTTATCCCAGAAGCCTTGATAGAGTGATCCCATTCTGGTTAAACCACGCTATGGTGAGTAAGGAACACCTTGGCCTCTTGCAGAGAAGAGGGAGACTTTGCAACGTGTGTCCCATCAATGCATTGTGTCACTTTCCAGAAGAGTTTCACAGCTTCTTCTTTCTCACCTCCTCCTTCCTGCTTGTCTGAATCTGATGTTGAGCTGTACACAGCAAGCAGATGCATGTGCTTGAAGCTGCCTCAAGAAGCCTTTTATCACACAAGGATGTCAGTGAATTGGTGCTTGTCAAACCTCTGAAGTCAATGAAATGATGTGTAGTCAGAAGGAAAAAAATCTCGCTTATTGTAGCTCAAGAAAGAAATTGTCTCTGCTAACAGAAGTCTCTAAAATACAAAATGGCTGGGAGTATAACAAAGCAGCTCTTAATTTTTTAAAAAAGGTGAAATAACCAAAGAAAATCTGACAGGTCTATAGCTAATAAGCTAATGTGTGCACAGCTTTGAATAGCTGGATTGCAATGATTGTTTACAGATTTTCTGTAAATACTTTCCAGATTTCTCCTTCATTTGCTCTGGCCATTTTTACGATGTGTTGAATAATCACATATTTCTCATCAGTCAAGTGTAAGGAGGCTGACAGTAACATAGAAACTGTGGGTGGATTGCAAGGTCAGGGAGGCCTCATGGGGCTAATGGGAAGGGGGAGAGAAGGGAGAGGTTCAGTGCTAGGCTGAATCAGAGGAGCCAAAAACTATGAAATAATCGCATAGAAGACTCATTTCTCTCCAGACTTAATTTCTTAAGAATAGCACTTTGCAACCCACTGCAGCAGTTCATGATGGGTGTTGGAGGTAAATGTGGGAGGTTTTGGGGTGTCTGGTTGAAGACAGTTGCTGGAGGTTTGAGCAGCCACTTGATTTGGACAGGCATATTCAAGATGTGTGACTGGAATCCAAACACACATAGGCATGTCCACATTGCTGATACCCGAGTGATAAACCACAGCCATCACACACTTTTAACCTCATCACCAGCTCTCTGTCCACCAATTCATCTCAACCAGGGCCTTTTTGTGGCTGTCCAAACCTCTGTGAAAGGGTGCAAGAGGACACCACTCTCTCTCAAAATCATCATCCACAAAAATGACATATTCTTCATGTCCTCAGCATCATGCTGGTTTCAGGGCCAGGATGCAATATGGGCAACTGGTTTAAAATCTTCACAGTGGTGGAGGTGCTGGGGAAGGGGAGGGTACATAGTGGAGCTGAGAGGATATAGGCTTTGTTGCTTGTTTTAATCCCAGCACACGGCTGAGAATTTGCCCTTTCCATTTCCACATTTGTTTATGACATGGTAAGGTTGAGAGGTGCTAGGACATACCTTTTTATTTCATATGCAAGAACTCTTTGCAGGAATCTCTCAAACATATTAGTTATAACTCCTGTCTTACCCTGCCTACATCTACATTTCATAACAGAGTCATTCTGACAACAACAAAAAGCTTTTCCATATCAAAAATGTCAAAAACAGGTGATAAAAAAAGGAAAAACAATTCTTCCTGAAAATTATTTTGACGAGATAGAAACTTCGCATAGAGCAAACCTCTATCACAACCTAGTATTTTATTTCTAAAGCTCTTAATACACTGCAGACATCTTGCGCTTGACAGTTCCTGGGTGGGAAATTTTCCTTCCAGTCAATATCAAGTGTAAAACATGTGCCGCCAGCATAGACTGATCCCTGCTATTGACAATCCTTGTGTTTTGGCACACCTTCCAACAGGTGCCTTCAGGCTTGACTGAGGCATTTCTTTCTTCCAACACTATCACTGGAAACACTAGGGAGCTGCAGGGAGATACCAACACTTTAAGGGACAATCTCCAAATTCTGATTGCCAAGCGGACACTTTTTCTTTGGGTTCATTTTTTGCACATTGCTCTACATTATGGCTCTGAGATTCCAGACTTTTCATGGCAGATTGAGGCAGCATGTAGCTGACTTTGGTGGAAAAAGACACTGGTCTATCAGTAGTAAATGTCAGTGCCATATAATTTGCAGTGGGAGTACTTTTTTTTTAAATCGTGGTCTATTTTAATATTGTAAATAGAGAAAGCATATGTTGTTATGTAACTGTAGAACAAGCACGCAAAATCACTTCAGGAATACTGAGCTGCTTGTGGTGATGCTGCAGCACCTTCCTTGCAAAAATGAAATGGCCATTTTTTTCCCTCACATGGACTGCTCTTACAGTGGGAAGGTGTTGTTGCCCACCAGATAGCCCAGAACTGTGGAGAGAGCACTACAGTTTAGGCATGTTTTTGCGGGCTGAGCAGAAATATCCTCTGTTTTGCAGAAAGGATGGCTAATGCAGAAAGGAATTTTGCTAATATTTGAAGGGGCCAAATATTCCAGACTATCTGGGTTTCCCTCTTTGCTTTTTTCCTGAGTTTAATCCAAAGACTGAGCCTCAGTTTTCACTTCTGTTTACCTGTGATAATTATGTTTTACCATCTTTATACAAAACTTTGAGCTTCATGGATGAAAAAACCCCCACCCTACTTATGTCTCAAGCACAATTATTTTATTTGAACAAGATTTTTGAAGTGGAAGATGGCTGAGACAAAAGATATGCTGGCCAATTTGTCAAGTGAATTTGTTTATTTCTTTCCCAGTCATCTCTTTCCAAGCAACATCTGGATACCCTCCAGAAGGCAACTAACTGCTGGAGACAGTTGTATTAAACCATATGCACATATTTTTCAACTTCATGGCAGTATTGGGGAATGCTACATTTTGAAGGGTCTGACAGAATTGAACACTAAACAAAGAGGGGCGATGGTGGTTCAGAAGAGATAACTCAAAAACATTTTAATCTATAACAAAAGATACACATCAGCCTTGACCACATGTGTTCACAAAAAATGGTAGCAGTAGAATTGTCTTTTTGTAAAAAAAGGTTTATATTTTCAGTCTGTAGGGCATAGTTCTTGTAAAAAACAAAATTTTCTCTATTTCCAGGCTGCAGCTAAGTTTAGTTCAGCCATCTCTTTTTCTAATTTACTCTTTAGCCGTGTTACCGTCTCACCTTTACAAAAATCAGCATTTTAGTGTCCTAGGCACTTTACTGGTTGTTGTGAATAATGCATGTTCAGAGGACTTTGTAAGCTAAAAATCTGAGAATAGAAAAGGAGGGATGGTAAATGGAGACACAGAAGAAACACGTCTTACCTGGCAGATTTTCAGCAAAGATGACAACAGAGTCCACATGGCCTGAGCCTCTGAATCTCCTTTGAACCTTGCCCTGATGTAGCTAAGCAGTATCTGAATGTACAAAAGAAAATTCAAGGGAGTGAGAGAACAAGCTGTGTGCATACAAGTAATTTTCCTTCACTGAAGCAAGCCACTGATGCCCTGACAGTAAGAATACCAGCAAGACTCACAATGTTCCTTCTCATCTTGGAGCTTCTTGGTATATACAAGCTGCTTGTGTTCTCCCTACATAGCTAAGCCTTACCTTCCCCAGTGTGTACACAACTACATCAACAGAAATGGTATTTTGGATCAGTGTGATTTACTTCCATCTGGAAAATAATAAGTTCTATGAATATAAATTACTACAGCTATTTTAGGAAGATGCCGCATCACTAACCAAAAAAGGGGGTGCAAAATCAGTTTGTAGAACAAAACCCACTTGTTCAGGCCACTCTAACTGGACCATTACTCCAGGTGTGTACACAAGAACAACCTCAGGTTCATCTTTGACAATCTTAAATTATTCTCTTTGCAAGTGGTATTTAATGCTTAATAATTCTTGCACATTTATACCAGAGAGAAACATTTCCATTTGTTTGCATTTCACAGTATCTCAATTTTAAGCTGTCTGGCAACGATGGACACTCATAGGCTTTCAACTACATTCAGCTTTTGGCAAAGAAGAACGTATGTGTGAGGGATATGGCACACAAAATTAATCACCCCACACATTTAAGAGCAAAAATGCTTAGCTTTTCCCAGCACTACATAGATTTTTTTGAAGTTTCCATTTTTTGTTGACATAAGCCCATTTCCTCAGGGAGAAAGTATGTGTTTCACAGACAAATGTTATGGCAGGGAATCCTCCCGGGCTGCTGCTACCCCAGTGTGCACAGGTGCAGCCTCCGTAACCCACCCTGCAAAGGAACAGCTGGAGACAAATATTCCACAGCAAAGGATGTGTCACTTCAGTCTCATGTCAGCCTCCAGCTGCAATGCAACATCAGTTTCTTAGACTACATATCTAATGTCAGGGTGAAATGCAATTAAAATTCTGGCATTGACATTGAGACAAAACATTTGCTAGTAAGCAATAGGATATTCAGCCAGGGCCTTATTACCAAAAATGCATACATGCAAGAAAGAAACTTTATCTCTGAAACTCTTTTACTTTTGATCATACAATTGGTCTGATGTTTCATCCATTTTTCACAACAATGCTCCAGAACTACCTACGTGTCTAAGAAAAAAAAAATGTTGGTTTACAGATGAGCATGAATGGACCTGGAAAGGGCAGAAGGAGAGAGTAGCTGAAGGTTCAGAGAGGAGTGCTGCTGGAATTAAATTGAGCAATAGCTTCCTGACTAATTTGCCACCACACCTGCTCAGTAACAGGACTCCTTGTACATCCCACTCTATCCATAAAATAAATCTGTGTTTCCCTGGAAATGCACTGATGGCTGAGAATATAAAATATGTAGTAACTCTAAGAGAGAATTATTTCTTTAACTAAACATGCTAGTTAAAGAAATAATATGAACAATAATGCTTAAGCCATTTCCACTCCGAAAATTAAAGAGAGGTTAAGAGAGTAAGAAAAACGTATAAGGATATATTGGAAAAGAAAATTTTGAAGAAGGCATTTGAATGAAGGCAAAATAATAGCAAAATAAATCAAAAGTGGGGATTTGTTCGAAAATTAGGCCAAAAAAGGAAAGAGCATACAGAGATTCAGAAAATTATGAGTATAAAACTAAACAGAGGTCATCGTGACAGGAAGCCATTTAGTTTTATTATGCTCAGATAACACAGGCTGTGTTTATGAAAGAATCTGACTGAAGGAAATTTCCATAGACAAGAGGATGTTTCCCAACAAAGAGCTGAATATCTGAGTAAACACCTCAAGGGTCAACCAATGAACACTGGCTTACAAGCCTCATAAGGCAGCACCAAAGTGGGGTTTTGCTTTTTCTTTGCAGTAACATACTGATGGAGAAGATAGAAACATGAGTGTTGGCCACGAGTGGTTGTCAGCACACAGTCTCTGTGGGGAATTTGTCTGAAAGGAGAAACACAGGCAGTTTTTCAAAAGCACTTGATGGTCTCCAACTGTGCCCAGTGGAGTTTAGTTTGGCCAGCGGTAACTGTTTGTGAAAAAAATCCCTCCCTAAAGTCTCACATGTTAATGGAAAGCAGACATGGAGGGTATGTAAATGCAGACAAATTAGAAACAAACAGCTATGGTCAACCGAGGCATCATTTCCTTCACTCTGGAGTCAAACAAGGTCAAACCGAGTCAACTGCAACGCACGCGTTAGGCGTACGAGTGATCTCAGCAGCTCTGGGGAGATTATTCATGGGCTTAAAACTCAGCCTAGGCTGGAGCCTGCAGCTGAACACAAACTCTACCCAACCCTGTCTTCTCAACCCCACGAAACTTGCTTGTGCTTGTATTCTCAATGGCAAAACGAGGATATAGCATTAAATAAACGCACAAATTACTCAAAACATGGGAAGTAAAGATTCCATATGGACTGACCAAACAGTGGAAAAAATATTCAGAGAGGACTATTTATCTCAGTTTAAACTGATGAACCTGAAACGTATCCTGGGAAACAAAAAGTAAAGAAAGAAAAGAATGTTCTTCTCTGCAGGATATGAGTTAACATGCTAATGTTTCGGATAAAGTTCAACATATGCTTAAGAAACTTTCTTCTCCCTGTATTCATATGCCAGAGTTTATGAGCTACACAAATAAATTTGAAATTTTTTAACTAGTTCAGATTCACCTGAGTTTGTAAGGAAAGAAGCAAAGAAACCAAACACAAGTTAAAAATCATAATAAGTGCCAAAAAGAGACACAAAGGATTTTAAAAATTGAATGTTTGGAAGCAGAATTCAGATTAAAAGTGTGATTAGCTAACCAAAGGCCTCTGACAATTTGGAAAGTCCCATAACTTTTATCTTTTCATTATAGAAATATATAAAAAACCCCAGCTTTTAAAATACTTTGCTCTTGCAAAATTTGTAAGCTGAAAGCTTCCCTCAACAAACAGAGGTTGTTAGACAAGTAAATACATTAATATTTCAAAGAACATAAAAATAAGTACTAACAGGATTCCTGCCAAGAGTCAAAAAAAGCTCTCTGATTCACTTTGGTTCATTGATAGCCTGATCAGTACACAGAGCTATTGTTTTAGCTTGTTTTCCTTACTTTGGAGTGAAATAGGGTTTTTTCTCCCTCTGTGATAATTACTTTTGACAGTTGCGCTGTTTATATGTGAAACCGAGAAACTGTTAATTAAAATAAAAAATGAGTCACTGTTTCCAGCAATTTTTGCCAATATTTTGATCTATGTCAATCTGAGCTTAATTATTAAGTTTTCTTTAAAGGAGGAGGCAAAACTGTATATTTTAATTTGGCCCCGTACAAATACTGCACTCCTCAGATATACGTCAGTTTAAGGATATGAAGCTCAGCTAAATAGGGTTGAAAATATATTTAATGACTATGCACTAGAGATCTATGGTTAAAAATAACTTGAATGAGAAAATACTTTTTTTTATTTTTTTATTGAGAAGGATATGAGAAGCCTTTAAAGCCTTTCAGTAGATATGATTAACCATGATATATGGTCTATCACTAACGATGTTGCCAAAGTCAACGTCCCTCTGCTGCGAGAGGAAAATCGTGTGGAAATCCAGCTGTGTGTCGTAGGCAAAGGGCAAGCTTTGCACCCTGTAGCCATCCTCGTGTTCCTCTGGTGTCTGCTGTACAAATACGCATCTGCTGTCATAAACATGCTCAGATATTCGACAGAAATTCCTCTGTGATTTTACTGTTAATGGACAAATTTGGCTTGGCAGAAATACGTGAAACCACCAGTGGACTCTGGGACAGCAGAAATGCAAGAGAAGATTTTCCCACATGGTTACTGGCCTGGGGTGTATGTGTACATGAGAAGGAGTTGTGGACAAAAAGAAAAAACCTTTATATTCACAAAGGAAACATGATAAATGAACTCAGGAATCACTTGTACTGATACAAGACCTATGTGATCAACTAAGCGGGTTGTAGAGCTGAAGAATATCTTTGTGAAAGAAAACAGAAGGAAATCTCAATGCCAGTGAGTGAGAGAAACTGGAACATCAAATAAATCTTTTCTATCTCTTTTCTCTGAAAAAAATGATAACGAAGGCGAAAGGGTTATTTTGATAGTAGGACAGCCAGGTATGAATAGCAGCTCCCAGGGGTGTTGGGAGGGCTGAAGGAGGACATGCAGCTTCCAGGGAGTTGTCATTTGGCAGCAGCAGACAAAAATGGATGTCTGTCTCAAACAAATAGGTAAAGACTGTTTTCATGCATGCTATATATAGCTCAACGTGCATTTAAAGAATTTAATGTGTATTTTTGACAAGTTATACTATAAATATACAGCAAGAAAACTTTGACACCATACTATCATATCAGATACTCAGCAAAGTCTCTGACAGACACATACGTTGAAAGTGTTACAATCATTTCCTTAGGACAAGAGGAAACTTCATACCATACATCCAGCAGGTTGTGCCTTTAGGGAAAAATACAAAAGAAATCCTTAGTTTCACGTTTTTTCTGTTTAAGTCTATCTTCCTCTGTTGCTCTCCTCCCATACCTCCCCCTATCTACCCATGAAAATATTTCCTTAATTAATAGGAATTTAACCAACTAGTCAGCTACAGTTGCTTTAGTTTTCACCTTTGCATCTCATTGACTGTTTTTGCTGTGTTGTTCCTCAACATTGTTTAAGCCATCTCTCCTAGGTATTGCAACTTGAAGTCGTTTGTTTGCACAGGGAATATTACCAAACTTTCAGTGTGGAAATTTCACCAAAACAAATTATTTTCTGAAACTGGTACAAATCAGTCAACAAGTTGAGGCATTAGCATCCCAAGAGTCCCTACACTGTCCATTCAACATCTGAGAGCAGAAGGCTTTCTGCTGCGCTCCCAACATCCCCACCTCCTCTTGGAGGCAGCTGCTCACCACAAAACAGTCAGTGCCACCAAATTGTCTGCACAGTGCTGAAAATCCTCCATGCTCAGACAGTTATCATAAAAGTCTTTGAAACTGAATCTACTTAATACAATACAAACTCTTTGACAAAAAAAGAAAAAAAAAAAAGAGAAGAAAAACACGCTTCTCCAGCAAGCTAACTCCTTTCTAACTCTTAAATAAGCTTTTTTGAAGTTCCTTCATCATCTTCAATCACAGCTAACTGAAGTTCTCTGTATGTTTACCACCCCATTTTTCAGTTTAAAAAGAGAAGCACAACACACTGCAATTGCACTGGAGTAAGTAATAAATGACAATATACAAAATACAATAGTGACTTGAAGAGAACAAAAAGGCAATCCAACAATTGCTTAATGAGTTCAAGGAGCAGACCTTTTACATCCTCAAGTGCACATTACAATAGAGTTCAATAACTTTTGTACTCTAATGGAAATTAACAAAAAATTATTGCATTAAAAATGCAAAAGGAGAGCTCATCTATTATAAAGTAACGCAGATCACGCTACAGGCAAACCTCATTACAGTACCTTTTACATCATACTAACAAGAAAATTTTTGTGCTCATTACTGCAAGGGTACTTCTTCACTATGAAAAAAACCAAGTATGCACATTTGTATACAATTATACTCAGTATTGTTAAATAATCCTTTGCTTATAGGCAGGTGCTTGAGCTTTGTAATCAGCAATAACTGAAGGTGAGGCACTGCAATCGGTCAGTGACAGACTCTCTTTTTTCCTCAGCACACAGCTGTATTGCCATTTGCTCTCCTGGAAATCCTTGCCTTGCCACACCGTTACCCAGCAAAGAGGAAGGGATTGATTCTATTGGGATTTGTCGCTTTTCTGTATATCAGTTGGTAAGAATTATGTATTTTAAAACATTTTCTTCAAGTGATCTACTTTGTAAAACAAGGCCAATTGCTGTACTTAGATCTAAGTTCTCGCCCAGGTACATGGAAGACAACAGTCTGTTCTGTGGAGAAATCATTTAAACTTCAGCTGAGACCCACAGAAACTATTTCCAGATGTAGGTAGACGAGGTTTCTTCAAACACAGTACAGGTACTGATACCTTACACAGTATTTTCTGCTCTTCTCTCTTATAGAAAAGCAACTAAATTGCCATAAACTCCAAGGTACTCTGAGTTATTTATGCTGGACTGGAGTTTTTATTTCTACCAGTACCATCAAATTTACCTCCACTTGCTCTCTTGCTCACTGCAAAAACACCAAATCTCAAAAGGTCTAGGGGTCATGGAAGCAGGAGAGGAGTAAAATTCAGTTCAGTATTTGGCAGGGAAACACACGGCTGGGTTTAGAAACTTGAGACAGAAAACGATACTCAGAGCCAGGTGCAAACCAATGGGTAGCAAGGAGGTGTCTGCCCCACTAGCACCTCCTACTCCACCTATGGACACCGCCTACATTTCCAACAATGTACAACAGTTGATCCCCAACACATTGGAGAACGATCTTGAGAGAATAAACCATATCTAATCAGCACGCCCACGCCAGCCCCTAGCCATCTGTGTACCTCCTGTGTGTGCGTCATGCACCCCTGGAGCTGGGTTTGCATCTGTTGCATCCTGGCTGCAGCACCGGGGTCTGGAGGCACTACCACTCCATATAACCATGGACAGCTGCCAACACTTCAAAATACTCTGAGGATGCCTCATGTTGAGACTCTGCTCAGGAAGGGGTCTGTATAATTTCAGGGTATGCTGTGATATCGCTTTCCAGAGCTGAGGAAACATCCAGGCCTTAGGGTGGAGGATACAGAAGAGGATAACAACGAGAGGATACAGATCTGCAGGGAACTGACCTGTCTTCATGCAAAGACTTCTGAGAAGTCACTGGGACTGTGAGGGAACCCATCATTCCCATTCCTACCCACCAGTTCGCACTATCAGCTAGAGACTACCTTCAGCCGACCAAATGAAAATTTGGAATAGAAAATGAACTGCACAGATGAAAGTCACATGTGTGACTTGAAACACATCAGTCTGTGTAAGAGAGACTGTGGAAGCAGGGGACTTCACTGTTACATTACATAAGGAACTTAAGAGCCATTTATCCTAATCCAACCCAGAGCCTAATAGGATTACGACCACGGCTTCCTAAATTCCTTTTCTATGTTCTCATTTACCCTGTTGCTTAACACCAGCTTTGTTTTGCTTGTCTTCTGACATTTGAGTTTCACTGTCTTTGAGACCAGACTGCTCTTCCAGCAATTAGTACAGCCATGTGTGCCATGTCTTCCCCTAAATTTCCTATCGGCTGAGCAATTTCAGGAGACACAATTCATATCAGGATCTGAATCCACACCAAAGGATGAGGATTAACACAAGCATCAACACAATTGGGCCCTCCCAGTATCTTCTGTGAGTTGGTGCTGCCAGGGTCCTGAGTGGAAGGTGGTACCTTAGAATGCTTGGCCCCTTTGTCCCAGGGCCCTGATGACTGGATAGAAATATTAGGATTTCAATACTGCTCCCAAGTCAGCAAGGAACCTCCCCTTTGCTTTCTTCTGGCCTCCTCTTCTTGATTCCCTGCAACCACAGACAACAGCTTTCAACTAACATAAAGAATTTCGGGCCTGTGCACTGAAGTCTTAACATAGGTACGTATTTTACTGTTGGTGCTGCAACCTGGTGATTTAATAGTCCCATTGAGGCACTGTATGTATCAAAAGCAACAGAGTCCTTCCTAAAAGCCTCTCCTTGAACTGCCAGTGCCATTGCTGCAGTGTCAATGGGCTCAGAGCTGGTCCCTGCAAGGTAACAGAGAAACTAAGCACCAGCGATGGCTTGCACCAGGCACCTGCCTCTGAGCAGGGTTTCACTGTAGCTTTGAATACCCTGCATAGTCATTTATTTGGGTTTGAGAACACAAGGTGGAGTGCTTCATATGAGACACACCAGCTGGCCAAATTGCATCAAGATAATCTAGCTCCTCGTCATATAAAATAAAGGTAGTTTTCATTCTCTGTTTTACTGTTTGAGACACAATACGGAAAGAGTAGTCCTGTGCAGTGAAGAACACATGCTGACATTTGCACAGGCTCCAGTCAGCACCTGGTCTTCAGTATTTCTGCTCAGACTCTCAGTGGCCTTTTCTGCAGGCTTTTATTTTTTTAATTACTTCTGTGTTTCACAGCCCTGTTTGTTTGATGAAAGAACCTTAAATCATGAAAATAAGTCTCTATATTTAAACATTTCTGTGCTCAGTCCAGAAAGCTCCACTACCAATCCCCTCCATTTCTCCACTCTATCCCTTTGATGAGGATTAGTAAATCTCAATTTACAGGCAGGGTAAAAATCCACCTTTTTTATGCCCACTCTTTCCTTCTCTAACTAGAGAAAGGAAGAATCATCTTTTCAAACCTTTTTTTTTGTCCTTAGAACTCTCCCATTGCTCAGTGTCAGGACACAGCTGCAAGATAGTAGGGCAGCCTGTTTGTCAGTTCTCTTTGAGGAATGATGCTCAGCATAAGGTAGCAGGCTGGTTGCCATCAGAAACAGTGGGATTGCATTCCCATGTTAGCACTGATGGTGGAAAGTATGGCGTTCACCTTATATGTGGGGGTTTTTTAATCAAGACTTAAACCTTTTAGCATCTTTTGGACCCAAAGCTTTGTTTTAGGGAAGTGCTGTCCATTGTTAGAATGGCACAATCTTACAACAATCACTGGAGACCAACCCTATTTCTTATATTCTTTACATATTCAACACAAATATATATAATTTTAGTCACAAAAATTGTATTTTTTCCTATATTTAGTATATAAAGACCACTTTTATATTCTTAAGTTCAGGTGTTTTCTACAAACCACTTTTATGAGCCATAAACAATGATAATAGTACCAGTGAACTGACAGGCACTACAACATGTTTTCTGAAAGAAGAAAAAAGCAGAAAGAGAGGGCCTAAGTGGAAGAAAATAAACCCTATAAAGCAGGCATATTAATCTTTTTCCTTTTCCTTCTTTTCCAAACTATGCTTTACAAAGAGTTCTGGAAAAAAGGAGTGAAGCAGCTGCATCTGTTTCCTACCTACCCATTCCTCTTCTCTTCCTCTTCTTAGACCAAAAGAAAAGATGCTGGAGAATTGTCCTTGCCCTCTTGCCTCCTGAAAACTTCTTTCCACTCCTCAAAACAGTGGTCAACAGCAGCAGGATTGAGGCAGGGAGAAGCAGCACTGTCTCCACAAGCCCTCGAGATCTGGATAGGGGCTGAAAAGCTGTTGTAAATAGAGAGCAAACACATGTGAGAGCTTATTTGAATAAGCTTCACTTAGCATATACAAGGGCACATTCCTGTTCAGGAACATTTTGCTGTTTTAGTGTTATTTTACTGCTGTTAATAGCCAATGTCACCAGGGTGACAGCAGAACATTTTGTGCATTTCAACCTGCACTGAAACCCATTTAATTTAGCAGCAGCTTAAGTGTGCTTCACAGCAAATAGCCCAAGTGCTGAGGAGATGTATAGACAGCTGATCTAATTTTCTCTGTATCAAGACCGTTTTGATAACTTGGCCTTTCAGGAGTTAGAAATAGTTAAGTGGTTCTTCTAACTGAATGGTCCTAACCAAAGGTGATTTCTCTCCTTCCTTGCCTAGGGTCCTGTGGATTTATTCTGTAACAGGAGAGTGGGTATATCCTCTCTTTGCTTTGTTCAGCCCACCTGGACTAGCAGCCTTTTTTGCCGGTAGCCTTGCTGTCATCGTCTCTTTCTACAATTTTGGAGAGTTCCTCAACCGTATGATATGGGGTCAGTCCAAGTTTTTTTTTTACTTCTATCCATATGAAAACAAATCAAAAATTAATTGCTGTGATTGCTTAGGCAGGCAGGGAGAGGAAGGGGGCACTAGTACACTGAGGGGGGGTGATGGCATTTTGGGTATCTGATAGCGATTGCCAAGTCCTGCCCACTTACTAACAAAGGGAGAACAAATTGAAGCAAGGATCCCAACCCTACCAGAAAAAAGGCCAGGCCAGCTTTCTCAAATGTGGCTAAAGAAGCGTCTCTTACAAACATAATCACTGGTTTTGAATTCCTACTCAAAGAAGGGTCCAGAGAAGCCTTGTCTCCCTGGCTAAAACTCTTACAGCTGCATCACGTGGTGTTTGTCAGACTAGGGAACAGCACTGTTTACTGACAATTTATAGAAATGCATTACTGTATCCAAGCAAAAGCATCGTGGCAGCAGCTCCATGAATAAAACAGCACTTCAGAAAGTTTTACAAACTCTTGAGAATTTCTCCCTTCTGCTTTGGTAGTGTTATAACTGGTAGTGATTTAAGGAAAATGAAAGACAGCTTTCTTGGACAAATGGGCAGTTGGGAAAAAATAGTTTAGGAGGACACATTCAACAGCTAGAGGAAAGAAAGAACTGAGGAAGCACCTTTGGGTGTTTGGCATTGGATATTATCATTATTGTTGTTGTTACTGTTGTTTTTGTCATCATTATCCCTTCTGGTTTCCTCTTTCCTTTTTAATTCAAGATTAAGTTTTTGAGGATGAAAGTGTTTCTGTCAGAAAAATGTGTGTAATTTATTTAGGACAAATGTGTGAACATTTGCAATTTCTTAAACTGGCTTTCTGATGAAAGAAAAAACACTGCAAAAACACCTCTGAAAATAAATAAGACAACCTCCCTCTGTTCTCAGGGAACATTTGATGCCTGATCCATTTTGCAAAGTCTCACATGCCTGTCAAGCCAAAGTAGAGTGTCTGTAGCTAGTCTCTCACCATCCATACTCAGCTACCTAAAAGCAGCAGATTGACTTTCAAATGTGCTGAATAACCAACTTCACCGCTTGATACCTTTGCAAATAAGATGCTTTGTCTGCGTGTCAACATTTGGAAATTCTGGCTGCATTCTATTCTGCATAAACATGATATGAGATGAGGACTGCTGGTAAACGAAAACTGATTTGCAGCCTTTCCGCACTAGTTCTGCTTTCAGATGTATCACATAAATAGTAACTATTACCAGTCAAAGACCACATCATCACTACAAGATGGTGTGAGTCTTTATATGAGATATCTGATACATCTAGGTATCAGATTTTTTTTCATGTCAGAGTATAGTAATTTCAGGCCTAGAGTATGCCTGATGCATACATTGGACATAATCAGAATTAAAATAATTTGATTTCCAATGTGTTAATTGATTGGACAAAAGGTCATACTAAGCAGAGATCAAATTAACTGCAAAAACACATTTTGAACAGCTGACTAAATAAACTGGGGCAAGCACTCAACTTTTCTGTGCACACAAAAAGGCTGAAAAGCACCCCCAGTTGTGGTAGCACGAATGCAACCTCAGAGTATGTATATAAACACAGCATATATGATATTCTCCACTGATACATGGTGTGCTCTTGTGATCCCTGGAGGCCTCTTGTGTGTGGTAGGTCTGCCTCTCCACGTATACTTGATATTTTTCAAAGGAGCCATAAAATCCTGGCCTTAACAATTACATGGTATTTTCACCCATGTGCAAGATATTTCCCTTGAGCTACAGTTCCCCATGTTGGTACAGTCTTTTTCCCAATTCATTTCCCAGCTGTGTCCACTCAAGAGAAGGGTAGGACTTCCTTAAGCTGGTGTCGATAACAAGGTCCCAATAAGCATTGAAGCACAGCCACAGGGAAGCTATTCCAAATTACAGTGTGCCAAATTCTTAATATGTTCCTGATTGAGACAAATCTTTGGCTCAGCACTACCCGAATAAAAAGAGCTGCAAACTGAATGAAGACACAATTCCAGCATACCTTTGTTCCCTGAGAAAAAAATGGCCCCGTGTACCTTTTTTCATCCTACCCTTTCCTGTCTCACCTTCCCATCACAATAAGGCAGATGATGCAGTTAAAATGACCCTGCAGGAAACAAAACAAAACAAAAACCAACCCCCACACACAAAGTAAAACTATCTGTGGTGGTAGAGGACAGATCTCTTCATCTTTCTGTGCTCTCTACTCTGCCCACCTCCCGCTTCCCTGAAAAGAAAATGTACATGGAAGGGCACTTTTGATCTCTCTTTTGCTTCCTGCTCAGTCCCCCAAAGGCCCAGTTTGGGTTACAGAGCAATGTAATTATCCACTAGGTTCCTATAGGCACATCTGAAAACACCTTCTTCAATAACACCTGTAGCCACTGAGCAATTCGACCTGATACCGGTGGGATCTGACGAGGCAGAGCGCCCTGCCCTGGCTGCTGGCACCAGGATCCTCCCCAAAGGAAAAAAACTCTAGGGCTGTTGCTGCTTTTTCTTTCTTTCCCACTCAAAGGAAGAACAGTTGCTGAGTTTGTGCCCAGATGTGTTTACTCGAAGGTGCAAGAAATAATTAACAAATAGCTCCACCAGAGTGGCAAGCCTGATTTCCTTCTGGACTTAGATTGTGTGGCAGACTGTAGGCTGCAAATGAAGCTTGTCCCACAGCATAGCATGCTTCGTATGGACTCTTCCCCATTCCTTTATAACTCCGAGCCACTGTTACTTTTCCTAAAACCAGCTACATAAATATTTACTCTTTTTCACACTTAGTTAGTTCCAACTTATTCCAAAGACTACAGATGGCAGCTTTCTGCTTCAAGCAAGTAATTGTCCTGTGCTTGACCAAAAGGATACAGTATCACTTCTGAGAGCTAGAAAATCCAGGTTGTAGAATAATATAACCTTGTTTTTCCTTTTCAGAACAACCAGATGACATACCCTAAATTAATTTTATTATTTATAGACAAACTGCTTCATACAGTATTGGAGGTTTTAAAAATGTATTCTCTCTCATGTGCCTCTCCCTCCCCTTGCACAGTTGGATTGGTGGTAACTAAGGCAACCCAGCTGCACAGCCTGAGAGGCACAGAAAATAGTACCAGTAATGACTTCTTTTTGTTTTAAATCCCAGAGTTTCTAGAGTATAAGACAATGTTGAGCAATACAGAAACTCCAAAGAGGATAATTTGAAACAATGAGCTGATTCTTTTACTGCCATAAATTTACCTCAGTCAACAATTTGGCTGCAGGGTCTGAGTACCAAAGATCAACCACGTGATAGCTTCTCCCATTCCTGATGGGTGGAAAACATCACATAGGCAACTGATCTCATGTTCCTTTGACCAGTCAAACTAGAATCCTCAAAAATAAAGCAAAGCAGTGTTCCTTCGGGTTTTGCTCTTGTTGAGACAACCAGATCCTTGGGAGAAATTTGGATCAAATTTTTCCACATCAGACAGAGCAGCATTTCAACTGAGATTTCTTCTCTAGAACCAGCATTTGAGGATGGAGCAGATTCATTTGTCTTCCAATATATCTGAAAAAAAACCCCAAAACAACATTCATCAGCTGCTTCATTTCAATACTTTCAAAATGTAGGTGGAGAGAAGCTATAGCTAGCAACAACTACCTGCTCCACTAGGGATTGAAACGCCTCCTGAGGGATACCAGGCAAACCCCTTGCAAGGTTTTACAACCACAAAGCCTCTACCAAGTCCAGAGGGATGCTCATCCCCAGGTGGTGGAACTGTCCTTTGGGAGAGAGACAAGGCAGAAAGGGAGGAAGGGAGGCTGACTGTCAGAGCAGCCAGCAGTTCCCACAGACCCAGCTGTATGTTTGCTGTATTCCAAAAGGGAAAGCTTTGGCCAGCAGCTGGCTGAGGAACATCAGCAAGGGCAAAGCCAAAATTGAAGATATTATAAAGCAAGGGATAAGGCAGCACAACAAGAATAAGCCATTGCTCTCAGGAAAGAGAGAAAACTTATGGTGGAGTAACTTTCTCATGCTCAGTGCACAGATGCATGTGCTCCTCCAGATCTTCTACGAGCTCTTGAATATCTCGGAAAGACAGTGCTACATCATATTTATGTATTTATTTAAGGCTGAACTAAAGTTAGGTAGCAATCTTCTCATTAACCTGTTTTTCCTCTTCTTTTCTGGAGCACTTTTGCATTAAATGCACTTTCCAGAAACATGTAACATGAGTTTTATTTTTGTATTTATGTGCTTTTGAAACCAAGTTCTCTTGACACCCTGTTGCCAGCTATTGGGAAATCCAGCCTATGTGGCACCACACAAATCTCTGTAATGCAAGGCAATACTATAAAAAGATTGAATTCTTGATGCTCTCGTTCTTCTGAACAGACCTTGAGACTGCAGAAACTCAAATGGCAAATAAAGGGATACAAAGGGCTACTGTGTGGGGTATGAAGTTGTGTTACCAATGTACTGGTACAGGCTTATGAACAACAGTTTTTGTATGCATGTTAAAATGCTGATGTTCTGCAGGTAGTTATCACTCCAGGCACTAGTTACACCCTTAGTTATTGCAGTATCCAGAAGAGATTCTTAAACTCAGACCCCTTTCCAGAAGATATCTTAATTTGTTGTATCATGCCTTTAAAAAAAAAAAAAAAGAATGAGTCCAAGTCTATCTCTTCCTTTCAGTGAAAAAAAATGTTTATATCTGTAATTTCACCATATTGGTGGTGATGAATGGAACTCAAATTTAAGAGGATTTAAATCCCAGAGTTTGCAAATATGAGTATTTACTTTGGTCTCATCCATTCGTCGTAGTTGTGCCACAAACCTGTGATGGCATATTTATATCTTTCATCTTTGTCATTCCCCCAACCTGAAGCTTACCACTCAGATAGAGACAACTGGCTGTTTAAAGGAAATCTGCACTACCTCTTACATGTCCTGCTCTTGGTGATAACCTTATCTGATGATCCACTGGAGGCAGACCAGATCAGAAGCTGTGGCAACCCAGGGCTAATGATTTCATCAGTGGAGGCCAGACATTAACAGGTGCTGGTTAACATGTTGGCCCTGGCCTAGGAGGCTATTTTTTTCTTTGTGGTCTTCAAAATATCTGTTTGGTCTGTACAAAATACAGGATCATTTCGGAAGGAATAAATGCCAAGATTCTGCTCCATATCAAGTCAATCGCCAAACGCTATGCAGGCTGGAGAGAAATAAAATACAGCAATTAGTGTTTCAGAGCCTCAGAGATCTATGGACATGGAAGGAACATATAAAAGAGAGTCACATGTGAGTGAATGATCATCATCAGGGAAGAAGAGAGGCCGAGACAGTGTGTTAGATAATGTACCCAAATATATTTGATTATTGCCACATGTGGTGCCCCACAGTAGCACAACTGGTCCCTAAGTGGTGCTTCAGAAAGCTGTGGGATTTTAGTAGGTCCTGGGTTGTCCTGACCAGCCATGTGAGGATTCTCCAGATATCCAAGTGCAGGGATTAATCTATCTGCTGCTTTTCCAGACAAACTTTATTTTTAAAGTTTTTCACATACTCTCATCCCAAGCTACATTTGTTTGGTGGTAGATACTTTCTCCCACTGGCAAAGCACAATTATTCTCAATGGATGAGGCCCATGGTACATTTCAAATCATTCCTCAGTAGTTGAGTAATAGGTTACTTGCTGGGGACATCCCAGGCTCATTTGACTTCTGCAGCACTTTAGCATTAGCAGCTGTTCCAAGACATGCATTCGTAGTTTACTCCCACTCCCAGATGGGTAGGGTTCCCCAGGGATGTTGGGAGGCTGGGCCAGGTTCACATCCTCCTCCTAATGGGCCTTCCCCCACCCTCTATATCCTGCCCCCCCAATAATATCTTCTCCTCTGTGTCCAAACAGGAGATTCAATAGTAATACTGGACCACAAATGGAGAAGCAAGTGAATCCTTCTCTTGAAGCCAAACGATCTCTCCATGAATGCTGAAGCCATGAAGTAGAGGAAAATAAATGCAGCTGTGATAAATCCTTTCTCCAATGCATTGCAGCTTCTGGTGAAGCCATTATGACATCAGACATATGGAAAACTGGTGGAAAAAATGAAATGTTTGCCTCTTACATGATAACTCTGAAACTGCTATGAATAAGAAAATTGTGTTCATCTGTTTACACAGATTTCTCATCTCTTGCACAATGTACGTGAGGATGTGTCCATGGTTAAAACTCGTCACTGGTAAATGCACTCCCTCATGAGCTTGGCACCACTCTGTGAAAGACCTGTGAAAGCAAGCCAACTCTTGTTTGGATTGCCCTTCATCAAGTCTGGAAAAAATTAAGAGGAGAGATAATTTTAACAGTGCTGTGACTTCCAAGCTAGCTAGATAACAAATTGGGCTAACAAGGACTGTAATTAGAAATGTCTGCTCAGAAAGTTCACCATGAAGCCAAGTTCTTCTAACAAGAAACTTTCTGTAATATTAATATGCTTAATATCTCCCCTTCATTTTAACAGGAAATCTGAGGGCAACACTTTCTTCATTTTTCTTGGTTTCAGTTAATCTCACAGCAAAAGTAACCTAATTATACTGACTGTATGATTGCTTTGACAGAAAGCATGTTAATTTAAAGCACTGTTTAACATAAAGCTGCCTGCCATATAATTACACTCCATTCACATGTTTACTAATCTTCCTCAATATAGTTGATTTCTGTTATTAGCCTCAACATCTTGTTAACATCTAAAACACTGGAGATCTGCTTTGCAAACTCCAATAAACAGGCAAGCCTGAAAGTACATAAGTGTTCCATAATGGTCAATGTGAAAAAGAAAAATCTTTGTTATTATTCTTGCATTTAAGGAGGATTTGAAACTAGTTGCAGTACTTAAATGTCTAACTCCATGCTCATTGCCAAAACCCTCGCTTAGAGCTACTGTGCATGCAGTTCACCAGGGTGTTATTTTCACCTTTCCAACGCTGCTGGAGCTTAGTAAAAATGAAACACATTGTAAGCTGCCTGTGAGCAATAAAAGATAATGTGTATACATAAGATTGTTCTTCTCATATGCTAAGCACCTGATAAAAATTCTAATCTGGGAAGTTAACATACTAGGCCTAGACTGTAAACTAAGCTAATGAAAGATGTGCATGCATTCAGTATTTCCCAGCTTATCTAGATAACTCGCTCTAGCTAAGTTTGCAAGGGGAATGTAAACTGTTACACGTCCCCACACACAAACACACCCCTCCCTCCTTTTCTGTTGAAGCTAAAGGAGAAATAGAAAGAATTCAGCTGGAAGATGCTGGTGAGAGGAAAGAGAGACAGAAGAAAAAACATGAAGGGAATTAGGGAAGAAGAGAAAGTGCAGGTTTGTTGTGCATTTTTATCTCTTTCTCTCTCTCTTTTTTTTTTTTTAATTCTTTTATTTTGTACTTATAGTCCAGTACAAACAGTTTAAATGTCAGAAACTCAAAACAAAGTCTGGTCCCCAGAACAGAGGGATAAGTCTTTCCACTTCCAACCAGAGGAGTTGAATGGCAGATTTCACCCTAAGCTCTTGCTCACACCAGAGTACCTTTGGGATCTGATGTGGTGACTGTGCTGCTGGACTACAGGGCATTTAAGGAGGATTTGAAACTAGGGCTTTGAGGAGAATCACGGGAGATGTTGTTTCTTTCTTCGAAAAGGGCTCAGAAGAGGCACTGTTCTCTGCTACATCCTGTATGGAGAGAAAGTGGATTCCAGTCATGCACTTTGGGAAAGCAGTCAGGAATGCCTGTCCTCAGAACACAACTGCTGGGATCTTGGGCTTGTTTTGCTCCTTTCTCTGATGCCCTTGAAGCCCTGAAAGGAGGAAAGCATGTGCCATTGCTCACAAATCAACGTTTTCCCTGTGACTTCCAAAAGGCTTTACCGAAGTGTTCTGAGTGAGGATCTGCCCTTTACGACATTTACACCAGATTTCTCTTTCCACTCCATTACCCTCTATCATTTTATTTTGAGTAAGTATGCAAAAGTCAGTCAGAACTGTTTATTTATAGCCGTAGATTTTCATGGCTGTATAAATTAGATGTTATTACTGAATGAGATGCCCGCCCACTCCCCCAGCGCAGCTGTACAGCAATCCTTTCATGCTGCTCCACGGTGCAGTCTCAATGGGGAGGGAAACGATGTCCTCCCATTCAGACGGAGGGACCGCAGCTTAAACCCTTGGGCGAAAAAACAGCAATTATTTTTTTCAACGGGGCAATCTGCGGTATGACAACCACAATTAACCAATACTATTTAGACCTGCCACTTGCATCTGGCAGAGAGAAAATGAAGGATTAAATTCACCAGAGGAAAAAAAACCACCTAAACTAGAACCTACCCCTGGACTTTTGTTTTATAGGATTAAGTGGTTTTACTTCGGAGTGAGGGAGGGGGATGGGAATAGTAAGGGGAGGTAAAAGCAAAACTGGTTGTTAGTTGAGACAGAGCACCATCAGAAAATAGGGACTCATCCCATACACACACACACAGATGTTTCCAGCAGAAACAGCTGGACAGCAATATCCACCACCATTAGGAGCTTTCATCTTAACTCACACCTTTGTAACAGTTTACTCCCACAAAAAGCATAGGCAAGTGCTACTTTATTCCGTCCCGTTTCCCACACAAATTTCTTGGTTTGGGTGCCTGCCAGAGCTTCAGGGTCACAATCTGACCTCAATAACATAATTTAGGATTGTTCCAAGCCTTCAGTGGAACTACTAAGGATTTACTTTGATGGATATGTAGCCAGGATCTGGCATGCAGAAAATACACATTTACATTCTACCAAAGTGTCTAAAATAGTTGCCCAGGGACACTGAAATTCAATTTGAGACCTTGTATTCACTTGGCAGAGCACATAATTAAATATTTTGTGCCACAAAATTAACCAGAGTCTCGGGGGTCTGGGTAAGAGAAGGCTTAGAATCAACCATGAGAGCCAAACTAAGACCCGCTTCCCAGGCAAGTTATTCAGTAAATATTGGAAAAAATAATTGCATTCATGTAGGGGTTCATAATATTTTTTGTTAGTATTTAATCTTACTGATTATCTGTAATAACCTTTTACCTCAGAGGAAGAGGTTATTGGCTGGGTGGATTCATATGAATAACACCAATGTCAAGACGTGCTCTTGAACTAAAGCTCCTTCTTACAGCAAAGACCTGTTTGTCCTTGAATTAACCATTTGGAAAAAAAATCAGGTAAAAACCAAATACAATTCCAATAGGCCAGAGTTCGTAACAAGTGGTCCAAAGCTCCAAAGCAGATTTTTTGCCTTTTTTTAAGTCTCCAGAGGCCCTACCCTGCAAGGAGTTTAATGTTTCTGAAAAGCAAATCAAATACCTAAGGTGTTTGATGTCAATACACTTCAGTTTAACTTCCAAACACTGGTGTCACTTTTAAAAGCAAGAGCTTGAGTTAGACCTCTAGGATATGGCCCAATAATAGTTCTGAGTTATAAAATTTAATCCTTGGTGTTTCAACTGTCACCTTCTATCAACTGTTCTCGAATCATTTAAGCAAACCTTCAAGTTCCTTTAGGCTTGAGAGGGTAATTTCCCTCACTACCTGGAGAACAGCACATAGAAAAGAGAATAATGCTTTATTCTACAACCAAGACAAACAGAATTACCTCCTCCAAGTATGTAGAACAATATGATTTCACTGTTGGTATGGACTGCGTTCCTTAAGGAGAGGAGATGGAAACCAATGTATACCAACACCAACCTGCTTTTCATTTTGAGACGCTAATTCACGTTTGTGATATGGAACCACCCAGTGATAATGCCATCACCAGCTGGCAGGTGAAAGACAGATCCATCACTTAGTTTGCTAAAAGATCATGTGTTACAATACACCATCACTTCTGCCTGTGTTTGGAAACTCCAGGTTTTCCTTCTACTGCTCTGGTAGCAGCATCCCCTGGATCTGGCACAGAATGCAGGCACACAATATGTGCACACAAGCAAAGGCCCATCTGTGGGGAGTGCAGGCCCCCAGTTGACAAACTTGCTGCAGAGGTGGCTGGCCTCAGGCTTGGAGGTGACAGGGAGCGTTGAGCAGGCAACACAACATTTTGCCTTGCTGGTGGAACTCTCACCCAGAGGTTTACAAGGGGCTTTTCTTGTTCAGGCCCATGAAGCACCCTTCCCTGCCTTGTCCAGCAGAAGGAACTCCCCATAACATGGGAGCAATCTCAGTGCTGAGTCAGAACTCACACAGGCTGTGGTTATGTGACAGCCACATGCTCCCATGGCACATCCACAGCGGGGTTCACTGTGTCCGGGCATCAGTGCCCAAGTGGGAAATAAGGACACATGTATATAAGAAGAGCTCCATGATTAATCATTTCATTTCATCAGGCTTTTCTAGGTATGGACAGAGAGAAGAACAATTGTGGAAGTGTGCCTCAAAAAGGGAAGAACCACACTTTGAATCATAAGCTCATTAAGGTTGGAAAAGACCTCTAAGATGATTGAATTCAAACACTAACCCAGAACTGCCAAGTCCACCACTAAACCACGTCTCCAAGTGCTACATCTACATGTCTTTTGAATGCTTCCAGGGACAGTGATTGCACCACTTCCATGGGCAGCCTGTTCCAGTGCCTGACAATTCTTCAACCCTTTCAGTGAAGAGATGCTTCCTAATATCCAATCTAAACCTCCCCTGGCACCATCTCTTCTCTGTGGTGACCAGTGACAGGACCCGAGGGAATAGCATGAAGTTGTATCAGGGGAGGTCTAGGTTGGATATTAGAAAAAGATCCTTCACCCAGAGGGTGGCTAGGCACTGGAAAAGGCTCCCCAGGGAAGTGGTCAGAGTACCAAGACTGAGAGAGTTCAAGAAGTGTTTGAAGAACACTCTCAAGCACATGGTGTGACTCTTGGGAATGGTTGTGTGCAGGGCTAAGAGCTGGACTTGATGATCCTTGTGGGTCCCTTCCAAAATATTCCGTGATTGTGTGATACTCTGTGAACTCGAGGCTGTTTCCTCTTGTCCTGTCACTTATTACCTTGATCGACTCCCACCTGGCTACAACCTCCTTTCAGGTAGTTGTAGAGAGCAGTAAGGCCTCCCCTGGGCATCCTTTTCTCCAGGCTAAACAACCCCAGGTCCTACAGGTCCTCCCTATCAGACTTGTTCCCTAGACCCTTCACCAGCTCCTTTGTCCTTCTCTGGACAGGCTCCAGCACCTCAATGTCTTTGTTGCAGTGAGGGACCCAAAATTGAACACCGGACTCCAGGTGCGGCCCCACCAGTGCCCCTGTTTTCAGCACTGAAGTGGGAATACCACTGCCGCTGAGCTTCCCCCCCCTCCCCCCCCCCCCCCAAGAGAACCGAACCAGCACTCCGCAGCTCCGCTCGACGCGGGGCTCAGACGCCGTCACTGCTCCCTTCGCTGCCATTCCCCGGCGACAGGAACCGCGGGCGGCGGGAGCGCGGCGGCCCCACAGCGCCGCCTGCTGGGTGCGCGGAGCATGGCGGGGCACGGGCGGGAGCGGGAGCTGCCGGCGGGACT